ACAAAGACGGGATGTTCTTCTATTTGTGTAGATCCCTTCAGGTTTCTGATAGTAATGTTCTGTAGTTTTCTTCATACAGGTCTTTAGTTTTTTGGTTAAGTTTATTCCCAAGCACTTCAGCTGCTGCATGGCTTCTGTGAATGGTATTCCTTGATGTCTTTTTCAGCGGTCCCACCACTGATATATAGGAATCCATTTGATTTCTGCTTGTTAATCTCATATCCTGCTTTACTACCAAATTCCTCTATTGTTTCCAGTAATCCTACTGTGGACCCCTTGGGAATCTCAATATATAAAATCCTATCATCTGCAAATAGCAAAGTTTCACTTCTTTATTGGGTTTCTGATATATTTTATTGCCTATGGAATGCATATCCTTATTATAAATGTCCCAGAATGCATATCTCTTATTTTATTGCCTATGGAATGCATATCCTTATTATAAATGTCCCAGAGAATGGGTCTAAGGAACTCTAGTGCATGTGCTTATGCTCAGCTGTTACCCAAAGATGCACTGATTGGAACTCACCGATCACTCTGCAGAAGAAAGCTGTAGCAGTCTGCTTTCATGAGCATACAGCTTTGGAGACCTTTGACGTGGCTCTATCTATCCCAGCAGGACTCCCTGAGTCATAAGCAACTGCACAACAAGAAGCTTGAGTGCATAAGGGTATTACATATATGGCCCCAAATCACTATTAGGTGCAGAGTAAAAATTACACACAGGCAAAGTAATCCTAACCTTTAAATAAAAGCTAAAAAATATCTATCTCATAGGACTGATTAGCACTGTGGATGTTCCTGGCTCACAGTAGGTGCTCAGTAATGACAGATAAATTTTGGCTTACAAATCATTGTATATTATCAATCAGTGGTGCCAAATGCACCAAACTTACTATCCCATCCTTTTGTCACTCACACACGCTTTACAGACCGTGAGGGCAAACTGTTCCATTCCATTCGGAAAACACAGTGGTCTTCAGATATCCTTTTTGTGAAGCACCTTGGCCACAGGTTTCACCAAGAGTAGGTTGGCCTTACCTTTTTAAACACTCAACACAGTGGTGCCCTGCCTGGAAATACCTGGGAGCCAGGGGGCCTCAGATGGAGAGGCTGTGGCTTCAACCAACTTCTAGCACTTCAGAATAATCAAAGGCGACAGATTTCCCAGAAAGATCAGAATCACCAACTAGGAGAAGGACAAAAGGCTAACAAAGTTTGCGTGAACAATAAAGTTTTGTTTCTGTAGGTGTTGGTGTTCACTAGCACACTATAAAGCACCCTCCAAGAAGTTCTGAGCAGACGGTAGCTAAAGGGCACTAAGACATGGTTGAATCCAACGATTTTTCTTTGCAGACCTCCTGTGCTAAGATGTCAGTATTTGATTAGCACAATCAAAGAGTCACCAGAGAGAAAATGTGCCTTTTACGTCTTGAATGTCTAAGGAGGGAAGGCCTTGGTGCAGCCTGCGTACCCACACGTGTGCAAATAGTTTTGGATGTGTTCACAGCAATGAATACTGCATGGAGTACTGCAGGTCAGATCATTATAGTCCAAATAATTTGATTTTAATGTGCCACGCACATTAAATGTGCCAACACCACCTAGATGTTGGCAAATGTTTTTGTTTGGTTTTGTTTTATAAATCATTTTCTTGGGGGCCCTTACAACTCTTATAACAATCCATACATCAACCATATCAAGCACATTTGTACATATGTTGTCAAAATCATATCCAAAACATTTTCTTTCTACTTCAGCCCTTAGTATCAGCTCCTCTTTTGCCCCTCCCTCCCACCCTCATGAACCCTTGATAATTTATAAGTTATTTTTATTTTCATATTTTACACTGTCCACTGCCTCCTTTCACCCATGTTTCTGTTGTTCATCCCCTTGGGGGGGGGGGCGGTATACATCAATCATTGTGATTGGCTCCCCCTTTCTCCCCCACCTTCCCCATACCTCCTGGTATCGCTACTCTCATTATTGGTCCTGAGGGGTTTATCTGTCCTGGATTCTGTATGTCAAGAGCTCTTATCTGTACCAATGTACATTCTCTGGTCTAGTGGGATTTGTAAGATAGAACTGGGGTCATGATAGTGGCGGGGAGGAAGCATTAAAGAACTAGAGGAGTGTTGTGTGTTACGTCGGTGCTATATTGCACCCTGGCTGGCTGGCTCGTCCCTTCCTTGTGACCCTTCTTTGAGGGGATGTCCAATTGTTTACAGATGGGCTTTGGGTCTCCATTCCAACCCACCCCTCGTTCACATCAAATGGCTATTTGTTTTAGGCCTTCTGATGCCTCATAACTGATCCCATTGACACCTCGTGATCACATGGGTCGGTATGCTTCTTCCGTGTGGCCTTGTTGGTTGCCTGCTAGATGACCACTTGTTTAACTTCAAGCCTTTAAGATCCCAGATGCAATATCTTGTTATAGCCAGCACCATCAGCTTTCTTCACCACATTAGCTTATACACCCATTTTGTCCTCAGCAACCGTGTCACAAAGGTGAGCATCATAGAATGCCAGGTTATTAGAAGAAAGTGTGCTTGCATTGAGGGAGGACTTGAGTAGAGGCCCAATATCCGTCTGCTACCTTAATACTTAAATATATATCCTTATCATTATATATTCATATATTTGCATATGTACATGCCTATGTTTATACCTCTATCACTGTTTTCTGTCTCCTAGTTCTTTTTTCTATTTCCTTTTGCTTTCCTCCTGTCCCACTATCATGTTCTACCTTCATTTGGCTCTCTGTACTTCCTCCTGGTGACATTGCTCTTGATCAAATCCCATCAGGCATTCTATGCCCTCCTCGCCATCGACTTTAGATCTCATGTTGTTCCCTTATCCCTGGGTTTGTTGGCTCTCCCCTTCTCTTCCCCCAATTTCTCCTCTCCCCTGTCCCCCCTGGAACCATAGATCCCATTATTTTCTCCTCGGGATTGTTTATCGGGCCTTAGACAGACATGAAAAAAAAAAAGAAAGGGGGAAAAATAGCCTATGAATAGTTCCAGGTCTGTCTGCGGACCCGTATGTTTTCCGATCAGGCATGATGAAGTACCAAGCCCTAACCCCTGAGTCCAAAGTCCATTTTCAGAATTCCTCGAGGACTTTGTTGCTTTGTGCCCTTGCTGCTCTGTGTTACTCCCTTTGTGTTACACCCTGGTTTGGGCGGGGGGTGTCAGCCCAGGCCCAATTTCTGCACTGTGTCTCTGGTACTGACCCCCACAGTGCTGTGGATCACTAATTGACAGATGTGTTGACAATTCTACATTCTCACAACCTTCTGGTGTTAGTGCCTAGGTACTATGAAGGGTCTTCACAAGATAAGCCCGGAGGTGAACTTCGGAAGCATCAGTCATTGAAAACCCCAGTGCACACAGCAGTCCCCAGGACTTGCCATTAATGTAATGGGAACTAGCCTTTTGTTTTTTATGGCCAGGAGAGTCACCTGGGGGAAGATTAAACACTGGTGTGATATTTACCAAAGCCGTGTTGACTTACATTTCTTCACCCTCACCCCTCTCCAGTTAACCCCACTCTTGAAGAAGGGGTTTTAACAACTCATAAAACTTTGATTATGCTAAATTTAAAAATATTTTCTAGTAAGCCCAAAACTAAAGGGCAATATTTGAAAAATACTGTCAAAATGAAAGACCCATGTAATTAGAGACAACTGCTCATCTTGATCTTCTAGGTCCTGGGTCAATAACAAGTACTCTTTCTAATACATGCAAATAGTACTCTCTACCCACATCAAAGAGCCTTCCTTGGTGGCACAGTAGGTTATGCATTGGGCTGCTCACCACAAAGTTAGACGTTCACAACTACCAAGTACTGCAGAAGCAAGATGAGGCTTTCTACCTTTGAATAAGAATTACAGTCTTAGAGACCTATAGGAGCAATTATACCCCATCCTGTAAGATCTCTATGAGTCAGAATTGACTAGAAGGCAGTGAAGTTGTATGGTTTTGTACCCACATCACAATATCCCACAGGTATAGAAAATCCAACTATCAAACCTTTCCTCAGGAGTGGCATATGAAAATGGATCCAGATAAAACAAAAAAAATAAAGCCACAGAATGGCTGATATGCAACAAATACAACTAAAATTTTTTTTTACCTTATACATTTAGTGTTACTCTTACAGAAGCTACAGTTAATGTGCCAAGCAAGTTCCAAATAATTATATTCTAGTCCATCCATTATAAAATTCCCTACTGTTTTACATGCCCTGTCCTTTTTAATTTGAAATCTTTCTCTTCCCCCTCCCCAGTGCTCATATAATCACATCATACTTTTTCCTTTGGACAATATTTTCAGAGAAACATAAAACAAACACCCAACTCCAGGGGAAAAGTAAACCTTTTAAAGTCAGGTGATCTCAACCTTGGTACAGCACCCAGCCAGCCTCTCTGACACCGTTTCCTAATCTAAGAGGGTGCCTCAGATTTTCTCTGTGGCATCTTTGGGCTCTAAGACTAGTGTTATTTCATCAGAAAATTCTAGGGGAAATAGCCACATTCAAAAACAGTTATTTGTAATTGTTTTTAAAACTAAAATCCTGGAATTCTATACTAAAAACCAAACGAGCAAAAAAAAAAAAGAAAGAAAGAAAACAGATCTTTGTTGAAAACTGGCAGAAAAGAAATAAGGAGAATCAATACTATGAAGTTAAATCTACTATTTGAATGAGATGCTTAAGAGTGAATAAAGATCATGATGATCAAGGAAAAGAATCATAAGTAAATGAACCTCTGTCGCAGCTTCTTCTCCATACTAACTTGGCTTTGAGAATAAAAGAGAACCTCAAATTAACATTTGAACTCACAGTGCCCAACTGTGTTGTGATTTCAGCTTTCGGCTTAGTGATCTTGGTCTTTATTATGAACAGAGTACTGTTTTAGAACTTAAAAGACTTGTGCCAAAAGAAACTATTCAGAAAGGAATTTTCAGAGGCAGAACAGCACACAGGAGGACACTTACTTGTGGCCCAGCTCATGAGCGATGGTGAATGCCAAATTGAGACCATTGTCTTCAGCAAGCACACATTTCCTCTTAGCGCTGCACACACCTCCTAAGTAAGCAATTCCTGCAGTGGAGACACAAAACACATGCTCTTCAGAACACAGGCGGACTTTGTCCTTACTGGCAAGTGTGCAGGGTCAAAAACGATACACTGGGGTGAATCTAATCACAGGGCTGATCCTATCACTACTATTGTCCAGATGAGATTGCTTGCAGGGCTCCAAACTCATAACCACCACCAACACAAACATCTACTTAGCATTGCATATGTGTCAGACTCTATGCTGAATAGGCAATGCACACTGGCTCATTTAATCCTCATTACACACGAGAGTTGCCACCATCTTCTAGTTTTGCACACAATGGCTCATATATTGCTATAATGCTGGAAACTATGACATCAACAGGGTGAACCCAGTGGACAGGTTTCAGCAGAGTTCACAGACCAAGACAGTCTAGGGTAAAAAGTTTACATCTTCTTCTGAGACTCAGTCACTGAGAACCTTACGGAACAACAGATAACTTGCTGGAAGATGAGCCCCCTCAGTTGGAAGGCACGGCATACAGTAGATGTAACAATAAACTCAAGTACACCCATGATTGCAAGGATGACACAGGACCATGTGACATTATGCTCTGTATACTTGAAGTTGCCATGAATGTGAGCTATCTATCTATCTACCTACCTACCTACCATGATGGAGGTAATAGAAGGTTTAAAGAGGTAAAGTAACTTTCCTAAAGTCACTCAATTAGGTCTACTGTGCTGAAGCCCTAGAGCAGGTCTGTCTACCTTCAGAATCCAGGTGGGATGATGGGAGGGCAAGAAAACAGCTCTGTGTGCAAAAGTTAAGGAGGTGTTCCTCTAGGTGCCAATCCGAGCCTTGTATGACATTAACATTGAGCATCTCAAGTTTTGAACACAGGAACAACTTGTTTGCTTCACAAAGCAAGCCACATACAGCCCCACAGAAAGTTCAGAAATATGTTCTAGGAGATGTAGAGGAAGCAAGAGGAAGGCCCAGAGTGGTATAGAGAATCGTGAAAGGAAACCAAGGACATGCCCCATAGACCATTGTGCCCATCTCCCGAGACAGGAAAGTTGGGCCAGTCCACAGCAAGAGGCAGGCAGCATCAAGGGAAGGGTATGGACGAGGGCTCAAAATAGAGCAGGGCGGCTTCTGGGTGGGTGCGTGGGAGCCAAGGTTTGGAGGAAGAGGTGTGGTTGTCCAAGGGGAAGGGCCACTCTAGATAGAGATGTATGTGAACACAGAATCCGAAATTTCAGGGTGTCCAAGGAGTAGGGAGCAGTCAACTATGGCCAGGTTGGGAGGGGAACCAGACTTCAGTCACATTGCTTAAGGCCTAAGGGGGAGTGGTCCCACCCTACCTAAAGCATCTATACATGTGTCCTCTTAACTTCCAATGTCCTTAAATCCAAATCCACATGTTATGGATTGAATTGTCCTTATTCTGAACCTTTGAATATCACCTCACTGATAGGTGAAGAAATAGTCTTTAGAGATGGCGTCTGGTGGGCTGTGAAGCCTACATGACTGGTGTCTTATAAAAGAGAACAGACACAGTCTAAGACAGAAAACAGCCATGGAATGACGATGGGAGAGAAACTACAGGGCAGGAAACATCAAGAGGTGTCGGGACACAGAAGCTGCAAGCAGCTGGGAAGTACATTTTCCTATACCTGGCAAAGCAAGCATACCTTACGCTAAAGAGATTCTGGACCCAGGGTTCTAATTCCAGACTGGTGAGAAAGAACACTACTGTTCTTTCAACTGCCACACTTTGGGGTATTTTGTAATGGTAGCCATAAGAGATTAAGCTACCCCTCAGCTCAGAAGCCCCCGTTTATCTGGAAGCACCACCGAGGACTGGAGGTGGTTGCCAGCAGAATCCTGTGTCCCTGGGGCGAGGACCTGCACTTGAGCAGAGAATGGTCCTCTCCTTCCACTCACACTGTGGGGCCTCAGGCCTCTGAGAGCCAACACAGACCCCTGTGAAAAAGCAAGCAGGCTCAGCCATCCCCATGGCAGGTTCTGAGGTCAGACTTGCGGAGGAAGAGGGTATTGAGATAAGGTGTACATGACCTCTAGAGGGTCTCCAAGACATGGGCTCTGGCCACATGAGGAAGGAATACCTTTTGCTCCATCCAAGGCACTGTCCAAGTTGCCCACTGCCTCCATTAGAGGTTCCTTTCACAGATTTCCATAAGGCTTTGCAGGCAATGGGGTTAAGGAGGGTAATGAGTAATTGGCAGAGTGCAGAAAAGGAGGAGGACAGAGGAATAAGTTAACTAAATATCAACCCACCTTCCCGTTCTCAAGAGCAAAAACAATGCCTTCTTTGTTTACATCAAATTCCAGCTGCTACGGAGACTGATAACAATAGGGCCTCCCTTCCTTCCTTGTCCCTGTCACGGGTGCAGGGTGGAGCCCACACAGGCTCATGCTTCAGATCACTCAGCTCCTCGGGGAGACCAGCTGGAACCTGGGAGCCTGAGACTTGTTCAGCTTGGCATCATGAACCAGCATGACAGCATGCATCTGCTTTTATTTGAAAATATGCAAAGTGCTTGGCCAAGGCTTAATTTTTTCAGGGGGAAAATAAAATGGTTTTTGGTCACAAGTTGCTACTTTGCACGAGTACATCTTAACTCAGCAACACAGAATGTTAGAAGGAGAAATTTGACAAGAAAGAACACAATCTGGCTTTTTAGGTGCATTCAAGGTCATTAATCTGGTTTTGTTTAAAAAATGCCTTGTGGGTTGCAGTTAAATATTCACCAGTGACTAAGTGGAATGCTCCTACATAGCCCTGATAGTATGCACATCCAGCACATGCATGCATGTGCGTGCGTGTAAGCACACACATTCACATGCTCACACATCCACTAATATGCACCCTCACAAACTCACACAGTGCATACAAATGTAGATATTTGTACACACACACACACACACCAACATTGCCTTGCCATCCAGGCTGTAGTCTCTTCAGGTCAACGAATCTATTAGAAACAGTCATATGTACACACCTAGGATAAGTCACTTGATGAGGGGAAAGGGAGATGCACGATGGCCAGATGTGCTGAGCTTGCTCTCCTGAGCTCTCTGTGGGCACAGCTGCTGAACCAGCAGACCTCAAAACAGAATGAACACCACGCCCGGCACCCAGCCTCAGCTACAGGAAGCCCGGAGCCAGGCAGCTCCAACTATATTCTCTAATTATATAATATGCAATGCTAGGAGAACAGTGGAGCAAAGAGCCAGTACTAATTGCATCTTAATTTTTCCAAGGTGCAGGGGATTTAAAAAAAAATTATTAGAAAACCAAAGTCCAGTTTATTTACAAGAAAGGGCCTCAAACAAAATTAATGCTATAGTCTAGCACTTTTAATGGCTTATTCAATCCTAAGAGCCTAATTATAAAACCAAGCAAAAGAAAACGGCCCCACAGCTGAGCCTAGGAGTCATGTGTGTTTCAGAGTTACAGCAGAGAAATGCTCAGAGTGCTCACAACAACACTTGGAGACAATCCTGTTGTTGTAAAAATAAAGCTATGGGGAATAAATAGTAACTAAACCTTCCATCTTAGGGAGTCGGGGGAAGATGGCCGCCAGATTGGTAGCTCATGCCCGCAGCTCTGTGGAGATCAGGGAGTAGGGAGGTTTGGGGGGCAAGTAGGGGTATTGAGTCAGTCTATTGATTCCCAAGACAACTCAGAGCACTTCTCTGCACCAAAATCGGACTCCCACCCCATTGCCAGCACTCCCTGCGGACACCCGGGGTCTCTTGTGTGGCGCTCAGGGCACCTGCTCTGCCTAGAGTGGCTCCACAGGGCAACCAGGTGTACGGGTCCCTAGTCCACGCTTGCCCTCATTCACAATGATTTGATTTTTTTGTTCTTTGATGCCTGATACCTGATTCCTTCAATACCTCATGATCACACAGGCTGGTGTTCTTCTTCCATGTGGGCTTTGTTGCTTCTGAGCTAGATGGCCACTTGTTTACCTCCAAGCCTTTAAGGCCCCAGACGCTCTGTCTTTTGATAGCCGGGCACCATCAGTTTTCTTCACCACATTTGCTTATTCACCTGCTTTGTCTTCAGCGGTTGTGTCGGGAAGATGAGCATCATGGAATGCCAGTTTAATAGAACAAAGTATTCTTGCATTGAGGGAGTATTTGAGTAGAGTCCCAATGTCCATCTGATAACTTAATACTAAACCTATAAATATATGCACATAGATCTATTTCCCCACCATCATATATAAATATATTTACATATATACATACCTGTATTTAGACCTCTATACATGCCCTTTGCCTCCTAGTTCTTTAAATGAGACTAACTTAAGACACACATTATACTAACTATGGCTCATTAATAGAGCAGAGAAAATCCATTTCCATATGTGATTATAGCCAAAGGCAAGAAGTTAGGAACTACAACACATGTTTGGGGCAAGGTGGATTCAATGCATAATATTAAGAAATGGGAAGAATGAGTGTGGTTCAGAGACCACCAGGCTCCACTGCCTACAGGCCCAGAGGGAAAGAGTCCAAGGGATGGGGAAACCTCAGGCTTCCTAATAATAGGAAGGTGCGCTCACCACCAAAGGCTCATAAGGATCAGCACTGAATCACAGATAATTATTCTCAGGCCTTAGAGACTAAAGGGATTTGTCCTGCTAGGTTACAAAACTAGCATCCCTCTTAGTCCTTCCTTTCTCCCCCTTTCAGAATGGAAATGTCTACTCTGTCTGACTCACTGGAAGCAGATAACTTGTTTTCTAGTATCACAGGTCTGTGGACAGAAATTAATTTTCACCAGAATGTACTTTATGCAGAATATATACCATATAATTGATATAGATAGATAGAAAGATATATAATATATACATATCTGTGTGTAAGGTTTTTTTACTAGAACGTGTTAAGTCTTTTGGAGTTGTTGGGATGGTTTAAGTTTATTTTTGTACATGGTATACACACAATTTGGGGGCACCACAAGGTGGGCTATACTGTGAATAGTGTCCCCTCAAAATTA